TTGCCATTGTGTTGCTGCTAATACTCAATCACTTCAAGATGAGGTTTCTTGATAAGGCATATGGCATTTAATCCTGATACAGAGCTAATACTTAAAATGTTCATCAGGTTATTCCAGCTTTTATTTCCTTCACCTTAGTATGAAGTTCTTATAATTAAATATGTAGTTGTAAAATTAGCAACAACATTATATACAGAGAATTTAACTTTTCTTTTCACTTTCTCTTACATGCACTATGTGTATCTTTTTGATTTTGCATTATTATTTAACAGGACAGAAATTCACAACCAACATCATCGAAATGCTTTATTCTACTGCTCTTTTAAAAAGTGCATGAGTAATTAATTTTGTCTGCCGCCCTGGTTACATTCCTTATCTCTCGTTTTATATATATATATATATTACAAATGCTTTGAATATCTTTTAATATCATGATGCCATCTTGCGGTAGACTGTGGAAATTGCTAACATTCGGGCATCCTGACTAAAGAATTTCCCTCAATTGTCGCTTTTTTTAAACAAGCATTGTTGGCAATACCACAAGAATCCACATTTTGTGCACAGTACAATCATAATTTAAAGGTCTAGAAGGAGTAAAAAGTTTTACAACAAAAGTTCTTAATGAAGTTTTTCCAGTAAAGTTCTTTGTAAGTTTGGGACAAAAAAAATTTAAAATTTACATTACCTGTAACTTCACGAGTTAATATCCGAATTACCTGGTTCCTCTTCATCCAACTCATCTAGGTTATTAGCATGCCAAGACTTCAGCTAACTTATGTGGGCTGTTGTTGTATACAGTCTACCACGCTGTTTTCCCTCCAGTTGGGTCACTCTGTAAGTATCATTGAGGAGGACTTCTGTCACAATCAAGGGTCCTCTGTATTTTGGTTGAGTTTTTGTAGGTTCTTCTGTTGCTCTCAATGGTCGTCAAACAATCATTATTTCACCTGTTTTAAAAGTCATAGTTCGGCACTTTTTCTTGTTGTAGTACTCTTTCATCTTATGCTGTTTCCCTTCGATGATAGTGCGCATTTTTCCTTGAACTTCTTTTGGATCAGTCCATACATCTGCATTTTCATCAACAACTTTTCATAGGATTCCATCATTAAATCTTGGGGAATAACCATGTAGGGTTTCAAAAGGTATTTTATCCGTAGTTTTGTTGACAGTATTATTCAAATTTCGTTCAGTTTCTTTTATTCATGAATCTCAATCTTTGTGGCGGGAATCATTCATGGATGTGGATATTGTGGATAACATTGTTCTATTAGCTCTTTCTACCATCCCGTTAGCCATTGGATGGTAGAAATTTCCACGGGTGATTTATTCCGTTTTCACAACAGTACTGCTCGAATTGATATGATGTATAACAGCTTCCTCTATCACTGATGATTCTATCAGGGAGTCCAAATTCATCAGCAAAATCTTTGAGAGCTTTTAAAACATGTAAAGAGGATGCACTTTTTACAGGGAACAGCCTGTTAAATCTTGTGAAATTATCGATAATTATCAGTAAGTCTTGATTTCCTCCTGAACTTTTCACAAATGGGCCTAGATGGTCCATGTGTATAACCGAGAAAGGTCTTCTTCCTGGTCTAATTGGGTGTAAATATCCCTGTTGTTTACCTCCTGGAATTTTGTTCACCAAACACTCAAAGCGCACAGAGATATGTTTCCGCAAGTAACGTTTCATGTACGGAAACCATAGAGCGGTTGATGGTATGACGGGGGGCCACGAAAACAGCCCATGAAAGCATGAAATTTGACGCCATGCTTTCCCGCATACTTGGGAAGGAGTAGAGCAATTTGGGCTCCCGGGCTGAAAACCCGCCAATAGGCGATTTCTTTTAGAAAATTTGTAATTTCCCTCGGCATCTCGTCGCCTTTTTCGGAAAATAATTAAATCTTTGGCAGCATGCTGATAATCAGATTTGGCTTCCGGCGGAGAGGAGGAGACTCAACATCTTTTATAGATTTTGGCCGGGTATCGGCAGGCGCGAGAACGGAGCTCGACGCATTGCTGGAGAGGAGCAGGTTTATTCCCGGTCCTTGGCAAGGTGCAAATGGTACCTTGTATGGAATCTCCACCTAGCGATTTGGGGGTAAAGATTTTTTGTATGCATATATAAACGCGTGACAGTCCGTGGCAATAGTGAAACTTATGCCTAGTAAAAACTGTCTTAGTCTCTCCAGTGACCGTACGATGGCCATCAACTCCAACTTACTTGAGTGATAGTTTCTTTTGGCTTGAGTAGTTTTCTTGCTCACATAATAAACGAGATGCCACTTATTATCATTCCCAGTTTTTAGAAGCATTCCTGTGATACCATCTGTACTTGCATCAGTATGAACTTCAGTTGTAGTGTTTGGATTATAGAGTACCAAAGTAGGTTGTTGTACTAATTCCTTTTTCAAAATTTCGAAAGATTCTTTTTGTTTTGCTCCCCACTTAAAATTTTCTTTCTTCTTAGTTAGCTCAGTTAACAGTTTCGCTTTTATAGCATAATGTTGAATAAATCTTCTAAAAAAACTCGTTAAACCCAGAAAACATCTAATTTCATGTAGACTTGTCGGTTCGGGAAATTTAAAGATTACTTCTACCTTTTTTAGCTGGGTTTAATACCATTCTTATTAATAATGAACCCTAAAAATTCTACTTCATGTTTCGCAAACTTCCATTTGGGTAATTTAAGGCTCAGATTAGCTTTTCATAAAGCGTCAAATACCTTGATTAACTTTTTGGTCATTTCTTCCCAAGTCTTAGCATATACAAAGATGTCGTCTAGTAAAATATCCTTATTACATAAACAGCCTAATACAAGATACACTAAGCGTTGAAATTCCACTGGGGCATTAGTTAAACCAAATATCATTCGCTCAAATTGGCCTGTGCCATAAGGTGTGATAAAAGCGGTTTTCAATTTCGCTACTTCTCTCAACTCAATTTGTAATTACCCATGGGCCAGGTCTAATGTACTAAACATGCTACAATCATGTAGTTGTTCCAATAAATCATCAATTTTGGTGAAAGGAAATTTATCTTTTATTGTTTGATTGTTTAATCTTCTATAATCAACAACTAGTCAATTCTCACCAGTCTTTTTACGCACCAGAAGCACAAGGCTTGCATATGGAGAACATGTTTCTTTAACTATACAGTGTTCCTTCCACTCGTCTACTATTTCTTTAATTGCATTCGTTTTATAATGTTTCATACATACAGGTTTTGAACCCTCGATTTCTTTAATATCCATTTTTGTTAACCATGTGCATCCTAACTCTGATATGTTTAATGCAAAGCAGTCTCTGAAATCATTTAGCAAATTAACTATATCTTGTTGCTGCTGTTTCATTAAACTTTTGTTAAATTTAATTTGTTCTAAAGTTAAAGTTTTCGTTCTACATTTGTTAATTTAATTTGTTCTAAAGTTTTCGTTCTACATTTGCAGCATTAACATTCAAAATTTCTAATGAATGATTATCATTAAGTGAATTAACATCGCTCAAATTCAATTTTGAATATATTTCTTCACTATCTCCAATTTTGCAATGTTCTGGTTTTCCTTAAATGTTATTTCCGATATTGACAGTTGGTATAATAGTTTTACCTTCCTTTATTTCAAATAAGGAATTAAAATTTCCTTAATTTCGCTCAATCATAACTAGTCCATTACTGATTTGTTCAGTTTTTACCCTTACTAAATTTAGGCTATTACTTACTATTTTCGTTGTTTCATCTGATTTTAATTTAACACGTGAATTTTCTTCAATGCAATCTAATCCAATAAATGTATAATCTTTGGCATAACCGATATGCAAACCATATCTGATATAGCATAGCCGATATTATTTTATTTTTGTTTAAAAGCTTTAATTTTTATAATTCAAATTTCCTTTTTTTTCCCCGATCTTCAACTTCTAACTGTATTCGTTTTTCGCGTTCTTGAAACTCTAATTGTGCTTGTTTTTCTAATCTTTCATCTTCTTTCTTTTCCTCGATAATCCTTTCAAAGACTTGTTTTATAAATAGTTCGCCATAATTTTTACTATTGGTGATGCGGTTTTTAATCGTAATCACAGTGGCATCTGGTGGAACCATTTCCCCAATTTCTGTCGCAAGTTCAATTATATACACGTTTTATATATGTTTAATCCTTTAATACGTATTATTGATACGTTCAATAGATTTCCAAAATACGTTTAAAAACTTTCATATATACCCTTAATAGTTTCATTGATACGTTTAATAACTTTAGAAGGGAGTAAAAAACAAAACATTTACCGTTTTCGTTTTTGCTTCAAACCTTCAGTGGTGTTCAGTCACTATACATTGATATCGACATCGGCAATCCCGCTTCTGAAATTGTTGGTGTCAGGATTTTTCTCTTACATCCACTATGCGTATCTTTTTGATTTTGTGTTATTATTTAACAGGACAGAAATTCACAACCAACATCATTGAAATACTTTATTCTACTGCTGTTTTAAAAAGTGCATGAGTAATTAATATTGTCTTGGTGGTTGCATTCCTTATCTTTCAATTTTTTTATTACAAATGCTTTGAATATCTTTTAATATCATGACGCCATCTGGTGGTAGACTGTGGAAATTGCTAACATTTGGAAGAGTTTCATGATTTAAAAGAATCTGTTTACAGAGAAATTTGCTTGAGCAATAAGTACAAAACACTGAATTTATAAATGGCAGTTGATGTATTTGTTATTCAGGTATTTTATGATGATATTTTAAGACTTTTCTTTCTCTGTAAACAAAATAATGCAGTAGAATTCTATTACAGGATACTTGGCATTAAATGTCAAAGATGAATTCTGAAGATGTCCTCCCACCTATAAGAGACATCTGTGTATGTAAATTGATAAAAAGAATGCAGTTGGCTTTTCTTGGGTAAAGGATTCTTATTCTTGATACATCCCAGAATTAAAGTTTTTGAATCCTATGAATAATGATCCTTTTGTCAATTGGATCTCTAGAAATATTACTGGTATAAATAAGTTAGAATGACTATTATTACCAAAAATGTTTTAAGGATCATTCTGCTTCTTGTAGTTAGTAATTAGTCATTGGTAGTTAAACAAAATGTGAACAATCTTGCAAAGCAATGCATAAAGCACATATAAATTAACCAATAAATCATTCAGTTCACATGAACAAGAACAAAATGAGATCAGGTCTTTGTTCGGCCTCTGCTCTGGCATCATCTTCAGACTGTGATTCGTATTTAGACCCATTTTTCTTATCCTGATGTATCTGTAGTGGACCTTCCTGCAACAAAGTATGTGCCAGCAAAAGCTGAGGTTTGATACTATGAGAATCATTGTCTGCAGCATTTTCTTTTGAAGAAATGTGATTTCAGTGTTTTATAGGAATCATTTCTATGATTTGAGATATTCTATTTGCAGCAAAAGTTTTCAACTTCTGTGAATGAGTGTATAGCCAAGATAGAACTTCTTTCATGTCTGTCCAAACGTTAAATTTTTAAACAAGACTTCTAAGATAGATGTCCAAGGTAGATCAAAACAGTTTGGCTTACAAATATGTGACATGAAGTTCTGGTTGAGTAATAGGTGCTTGTTTTATAGGTGTGAGATTTATATTAGGAGATATCTCAAAGTTAGAATTCCATGACTGTATTCTCTGAATTAACTCGGTTAAGAATTCTGTGGAATTTAAAATTTTCTTTGAAAACAATGTGCATGTAAAATCAAAGATATTTTCTTGCAAATTGATACTACTTCATCAACTGTACATGCACTTGACAGTAAGTCATCCATATGGTAACTGGAAAAGTGCCCACAGGAAAAATGTTTACAGGCATAAAAGCTCATAGGAAAAAAGCCTACAAGGAAATATGCCCACATAGAAAAAAGCTCACATGGACAAATGCTCACTTAGAAATATGCTCACACGGAAAAAAGCTCACATGAAAAATGTTCACATGAACAAAAGCTCACATTAACCTTTTCAGGGGCAGTAAATAAAAGCATGAAAAACTGTAGTAAAATTTTGTATGTACTGTAATATTTTATACCATTGCCTCTGTACATTTTTTTCCGTGACTACCAATAATTAATTTTGTTTTTTTACTCTATTTTTGAATACTTTGATGTGTATCTATAATTGATGTTTGAATGTAGTTTTTTAAGCTTGGAGCCAAAAAAGTTGTAAAGTTTCTGCAGAAATTAAAAATTTTAGAAATAAAATTAACATTTTTAGGCACTTTGATGATGCCTCTCAGTTGAACATTATGAAGCAGCTTCGAAAAACTCCTAAAACCACGAAATGTTGCTAAGGCTTTCGTAACACACTAATTTCATTATTTAATTGTAGCCATCCCAGTATGTGGTTTTTATTTGATGGACTGAAAAAAGATTTAGCTTGTCAACGTTTGTTATTAGCTAATGTAAATACAGGATGTACTGAAGTAAAAAGAAAGAAAATATGAAAACTTACAATCGCGGTAATCGCGAATCATGTAAGAAACTATCATGAAATCGATGATAAAATTAACTATTTTACATAATTTAAATAAAATAATCATTTCTATTTGCTTATTCTTCTAAATGTTTCTATTATAAAATGTGTAATTTATATTTATTATTATTTTATTTTTTTAACAATTGAAATTGTAATAATTTTTTTCACTGGATAGTCTTTTTCATTTTTACTTCCTTCCTCCTCTCCTTTTTTTAAATTCAAAACAGCCCATTTGTTAATCTTATATAGCAACTGAATCTATACATAAGTTATACAGTTTTTGAAATATATACCATATATATTTTGATAATTTAAAAGATTTTTGTTTAGAAAATTCAAGTAGGCGTACAATGTTCAATTGTATTAATTATTGATTCATCTCCAAATCCAGAATTTTATCTCCAAAACATCAAGTAATAATTCTGATCTACAGGAACCACAAAAACCCAAGGATACATCTTCTGCATGTCATCAGTGAAAACAATTTTAAGGAAATGAAAATTGATTAAAATCTCAAAAAATTTGTCTGTAATTTTAAACCTATCATTTAGGGTGAATTTAATGATATTCCATTTTCAAATGGTTTTTATGAAGAAGCGTGAAAGAAATTGCTTGCTAGATATGATAAAGAGAAACAATCATTAATAAAAACATTTCTGGATGAAAAATGCATTTTACAAGTAGATAATGTTAATTTACAGCAGTTATCTAATATTTTGAATGAAATTATTAGTGGCTTTAAGGCTTTTGGTAAAAATGCAATATCTAAAAATTTCCATGTATAATTTTAGTGCCACTTCTCACACTAAGTTATCAGCTTAAGAATTAGCATCATCAATTCCAGTGATGTCAGAAAGGAATTGTTTTGATGCCACTTGAATATTGATTTCTGATATTTAACCACTGCACAAATTAAAACATTAGTATGGATAATTTAAAAAAAAAATAATATGAGTCATTTAAAGTGCTATTAAATCAAGCCTATATGCTCAAAGTAAAAATTGGTAACTGCATATCTTTTAGTGCACAGAATAGTTTAACATGCAGAGCATTTTAGTTTGATTGTGACTTGAGACAATTTAGGGGTCATCTTAATCCGTATTTAATGTTTCCATCATTTTAGGGAGGATGTTAGAAAATAATAATATAATTGGGAATACTTATGTTTATATAAGGTGTTACAATGTGAGGGTTTCTGTTGTGATGGATGGTACTGAAATTTGCATGTAAAACTTGAAAGGAATGGTCCATGAACAAACTGCTTATCACAAATTTTTAAGGTTTTTAAATTTCTTTAAATTGCAGGGAATTAAATAATATAATTATGATAAAAGAGTAATTATTTTTAAATTGATTCCATATTTTTAAAATTGCTGTAAATCAAATTTTAAGTATTAAAATTATTTGCAGGTTATTTTGGACGGAAAGAAAAACCATAAAAGCAAGGGACTGGTTCAATAAAACTGTAAAAATAGATCCTGATCTAGGAGATGCTTGGGCATATTATTACAAATTTGAATTGATTCATGGAACTGAGGTATGTATGTTCATAAAACATATGTGGATTATTTCGAAACTAAGGTCCGAATTGCCGTAGCTAATCGAATAGCACACTAACATTGAAATGCACATGCATACCGACTCCCGGCATGCCTTTTTCATCAAACAATGCCATTTGCATTGGTATTGTTGAAGTGTGCTGTGTATAGTGTCAGTTCAAAATGTTTAAAACAGTTGATCACCCCGCCAACTATGAAATATGGCCAGTGATTCGGTTTTTGACACCAAGAAAAGTTTCAGCAGCAGAAATTCATTGACAACCAATATGTATGGCCTTTAATCCGATGGCGTCACGTGGCATCACCAGTCAAAGTGAAGGCCAAGCAGGCACCCTCAGCACGCAAGGTTATGGTAACCATGTTTTGGGATTCATATGGAGTCTTAGTGGAGCTTAAGCAGCAAGGGACAACAATAAATGTAACTGTTTACTGCTCTACCCTAACTAAACTTGGTCGTGTGATACAGAATATGCAACGTGGCCTTCTGACATCTGGAGTTTTGTTGCTGCAAGATTATGCCAGACACCCATTCTGCTCTTCATTCCCAAAATCTAATCACATTTTTCAGATGGAAACAGATTGACTACCCACTGTACAGGCCAGACTCGGTGCTGAGTGATTTTCACTTGTTCTGCTACCTAAAGAAGTTTCTCAGCAGCAAGCGCTTCGCCACAGATGATGAGGTGAAAGAAGTAGTTCAAAACTGGTTATCCTCACAGGTTGTAGACTTTTTGGATGACTTAGGCATACAGAAGCTTGTAAAACATTATGACAAATGTTTAAACAAATCTGGAAGCTATGTAGAAAAGCAGAGAAACATATAAGGGATTATATAAAAAAAAAGTAAGAAGAATATAAATATATGATATTGATACTTTTAAATAATGAAGAAACTGCTGGAAATGTTGCTTTTCTAATGGTGGATATTTTATTTGTAGGTTTCTTCGTACTAAGTATATCAAAATATTAAGAAACATGCTGGCTGACTGTTATAAATAGAACTGATACATATTAATGCTATATGTCTGGCAGTGGTTCATTACTGCCATCATTTTACATATTATTTAAAAAAAAATAAAACTAAGTGGCACAACAGCTCTAGTGGGCCACAGCCTGCAGTGCCCCAAAATCTGCTTTCTTGACTTTGGGTCCCAGAGTGCATCAGCATATGCCCTGGGCAAGTGGTCAGCTTGTCGCAAGACCCCCAGTGTTTAGTCCCCAAGCAAACTTGGTACTCATTTTATTGACCCACTCTAGGGGAGTTAGGGAACTCTAGGGAGACTCTAGGGTCTCTAGTTAACTTGAGTTAACCTTTCCCAGCCCAGAGATCGAACCTCAGACCTGCGATGCAGCTGCGTGATGCACTAAGCACTCCAACACCGTGGTCATTTTACGTATTTATTTATTTATTTATTTATGTTGTAGTTCAAAAGAGTGGTATGAAAAAAAATTATACCTCTGATAGTTGTAATGAATTTATTTGACAAGTACAAATACAACATGAAAGGTTTAACTCTCCAAGTTCTTCAGGTATTCTTTGGATACTCTTTTTTGACACATAGATTTATATAATAGTCTAGGTCTTGCCATATGTCAGTATAGTCCGATCAGTTGAATCAACCTTCTTGCTTCTGTTGTATTAATTGCTGTCATATGGAAGTGGGAACATGAAAAACTTATCTATCACTTAGCTCCTGGAGGGGAGGAATCACAATGCAGTAGATCAAGAGAGCTGGAGGCCAGAACATTTGATGGCAAATCATTGGAATCAAAATGACCAGTACAGCATTCTGAAGAGACAATCACATATGTGTCGATGCCAGTGGGGTAGGGCATACAAAAATAAAAGTCATTTACCTCTTCTAACTGGGACAACTATTGCCTAAACTCTTTAATAATGGTCTGCATGGAGAAGAAATTTCCAAAAATAGTGTGGTTGGTTACAGTGCAGAAACATTTATTTACCTTTGAGAAATTATATTCATGTTCCAAAATGGTATGTGGATTTTCCATGCTCCCAAATCTCAAATTAATCTTGTTCATTTTGCCACATAAGTGTAATGGTTTTGTCACAAGATATCTGCAAAATCATCTGTGCTTACAAGTCAACTCAAGCTTTTTGATTTGTAACTCTTCAAACTGTTTAATTCACTTTATAATAATTAGGTCTACTTTTGCAAATCTTGCCTGAAAATATCTCTGAATATTAGCTGCTGATAAAGTTTTTGTGTATTCTAGCAAGAATAAACTTTTTCTTTTGCTGCTGCCACCATTCTGAGCTCTGAATAACAGTTCTTGCGAGCATTTCAGAAATGGTAAACTTTTTAGTATTATCAAATGAAAATTGGAAAGTTTCACTTCCACGTTATGCCTTTACTTGTGAAGTTTTGTGGGCAGACTTCATGAATACAGATATAACATTAACACAAACTTTGTTGCATGGTGCATTATGTTTAGAAAACATTTAGGATATGCCTTAGAGCAGTGATGGCGAACTTTTTGAAAAGTGAGTCAAATTTTGTTCATTATTTTTTTAAATAATAGTGCGTGAGCTACTGTCAGTGGGACTACTTAAAAGAGGGGTAAAAAGGGTACCAGTAATTTGGAAACAATGAAATTTGGTACGAGAAAATCTTGATAGTTGGCCCTTTCTTTTTTTTGCTCTCACTTTTAAAATCCTCTAAAAATGACTGCTTTTTCTTTTCTTTTCTACAACTTTTCCTTTTCCAATTGAAGAGCAAAATATAAAGGTCAACATCAAAAACTGATGTCAATGGTATGATACCTTGAATTAATGCACCAGGGGGCACCATGCCCAGTGTTGCCTCTGCACTGAGTATTTCAATGAACAAGGAGTACACACATATAGGAGTAAACAAAACCACATATATATTATGAAATATTCTTCAATAATAAATATAGTTGCAGATACAACTGGTTATCAAAATGATAGAAACTCCCTAGATTGAAAAGGAATCCTTTACATATACTTACTTAATATGACATAGAATTGTCTTTACATGTAATACAGCTTGGATTCGCCTAGGAATAGTATCATTGTATGTTCTATATATAATCTTGTTATTTGTTCCTATCTTTGGGAAACATGTAAATGTGGTTTTAAAACTGCTAATGTAATTATATTGAAAATATACATCATTAAAAGTTTATCAGACGAGTGATAAGTATTATCTTACCTAATACTGAAAGCATAGTCCTTGATTTAATGTTGGTATATTTGGTTCATTTTGGGCTAAGAAATATCATGTTGTCTGATAAAGAAAAAGCCAATCCAGTGAAACATTTTCTAAAATATAACAGTTTTAATTTGGAAGAAAAGTTTACTGGGATAATTTAGAAACAGTTACATGAGAATAAGAAATCAGAAAACAATTAGCCCACCAGGGGCCGAGTGGTAAAGTTGCTGAACACTGGTAGTTCGGTCTGAGGTTCGAATCCTGGGAATGGGCTGGCTGCATGGGTGTTTTCGTGGTTTTCCCCATGTGTTATGTGTATACGACCAGTTCCCTTAGAAAGTCCTCCACGAAGGCATCCCTCCCCTTAGGCAGGTAGCCCTCAAGGCTTTGCCGTAATTAAATAACCTAATCTAACCTAACCAGAAAATAAATAATCTTACCTCCTCAAAACCTTCCTACTAATATCGTTATAATCTAAGCATTTGCAACATTTTATTTATGCGAACATTAGCTGCACCGCATCAGACAACTTTTCAGGCACCTGCACATTTAAAATTGTAGGCTTGTGACCTGTAATGAATCATTGGAGGAGATAAGAGGTGCAAAGCTTGAGTGTTGAGTGGTACAAGATAGAAAATCAGTTAGCCAGTGTCCACATGGAATTTTTTTTCAATATATTCAACATTAGATATTTATATTTAATTTTTTTAATATTTTCGATTCTCTGTCCACTTTTTTATGATAAGAAATAAATTTATAAAAATTAACATGTGGCTCATTTAAGAAACCTTCGTGTGTCAGTGTCTGACCCACAGCTCTTAGGTTCGTCATCACTGCCTTAGAGTATATTTACTATTCTACATGTATCTTCAAAACTTATAAGAATTTTTAAAGAAATATTGTGCCAGGTTTGATCTATGACTATTTGCCTTCCAGTAGTACAGCCAAATTATAGTAAACCAATATATTCCAAACCAAACCATTGTATATTCCAAACCAAATTATTTCTATACATAAAAAGCGTATTATGTATTTTTTTTCTTAGTAATGTTAATTTATCTCCAGATGGTTTATTTAAGAGAATTGCATTTGCATTCGTTTTTCAGAAACAATGAAAGAGATATTAAAAATGAATTTGCTTTCAGGAACAACAAGAAGACGTTAAGAAACGTTGTGTTCATGCAGAACCACGCCATGGCGAAAACTGGTGTAAAGTTTCAAAGAACATAAATAACTGGAGGAAAAAAACAGAGCAAATATTGATTATGACAGCTGCATCATTAAACATACCTACATAATATAAATACTTACAGCATGTAAATAGCGTTTTTTTTAATTAGAATATTGTGTATTTACTTACAAAAAAACACCACTGTGTTAAATGTTATGTTAATTTTAATTCTAATTTTATATTCTGAAGTAGAACTATCATTTTATCAAAAATTTGGGTACTTTCTGATTATCTGCACCTCCACCGAAAAGTTGCAAACTTTGTGAAGACCTTGGAAAGCATTTGCTAACTCATTGGCTACTGAATTTTTGTCAAGCTCATGCACCACACGGTGCAGCCAGTTTCAAAATGGCAGCCTACTAGGATTTCCATAGAAGAGCAACATTCAATGAATTTTTTAAAAAATTCATAAGAAAACATTTACTTTTTCTGAGAAACCCTTCTGTACCATCTGCATTTTTATTTATTTATTTATTTATTTCGAAAAAATAGGACTACACATCCTTTCTAGCTGAAACAGATGTGCTTTGCATGCATGTACATCGGTAGCCACATAAATATATTTTTGTGACATCATGGTTGCCACATAACTATATTGGAAACATACTGCTATACTTCAAAAATACTTTTTTTTCCCCCAGCTTTTCAAGAGAGAGAGGAAATGTATAATCAGAAAGTACAAAAATTCTCTCAGCTAATAAATGAAAAGTTTTTTTACTACTTTTAAATTTATCATTGAAAACAGAAGAATTTTTGCCAACCAAATGTAAAATGAGAATTGTATTTTATTTCATCAGGATATCATTTCTTCAATCTCATTTAATGTATACCCATTATTAAAAATTTCATCAACAGCTCGAAGGATTTTAGCATTCAAGCTTTTGAATTTTCCTTGTTTTGGTTGTTGTACAATATGTCATTTTATTTTTCGTAATAAAACATTCATATATATATATATATCATTTATTGAAAATTTTATTTTATATGGCATTCCAAATTTTTAATCAGTAAATTCTGACAGGTCTTTTCTACATAAAGTTTATATTAATTTTTACATATACTGGAAAGATTCAGAAGCAGTTTAGTTGGTGCTTTGGTGGATGTTATATTCATGAATTATTTAATTCATAAAATTATGCCTAAATAAGGAAGGTATTCCAAAAATTACACATGTAAATTCATAAAATAAGGAAGAAATTATATTGAGCTTTAATTGTTATGTATTGATAGAAATTTAACAATATTTCTATATTTAAGATCGTAAAGTTTCAAACAATTTGTAAATTATTTAAACCATAATTTAAAGAATAATTTTTAGTAGTTCTGTTAGATGTTGATAGAATAGTAGAACGAAGGGATGACAATAATCAGGACGCTTTTACACATGGTAAAATGATTGGCAAATATGAGGCATTTGATGCATTTTGACATCTGTTGCCAAGAGTTTGAAATTTATCAAAGTGTTGATTCATGAGCTAAGAAAGCCTTTCAAATGACAGATAAAGCTCTAAAAAACAGAAAAGTTTGTTTTGGTCAGCCAAAGAAAACAACAGTGACTAATGACCAGTATCGTGCAGGTGAAAAGAGATTAAAACCAAACAGCAGGCAACATTGCTCAGCAGTTGCACACAGCATCTAGACCACAGGTGTCCCAGTTTATAGTCCCAGACAGCTTCATAAAGGTTTACAAAGGCTTACTTACCTACTTACCTCATAAAGGTTACTTACTTTACAAGGTTACTTTTTCATAAAGCCACTTTGTCCATTGTGCTGAGTGCTGCATACCATTGGCAGCATCCCATTGGTGACACGTTTTACAGTGAGGATACTAAGACTGGACATCTGATCGATGGAGTCATGTCCTTCCTTACTGATTACAGTCTTTTTTAGTCTCACAAATCATTCTCAAAGCCAGTTGATAATGAGACAGATAGGGGCACGTTTTCATCCCAGGAAAAGAGACTGCTGGGGTGGTCCTGGCCTGCTTGAATGTGGAGGTATTATGATGATGAATGGATGGATCCAGATTTTCGACAAAAGCTTGCTTACCAGAGATCGTTGCTGTGGTGCATTATATTACTGTGCATTTACTTACATATTCAAAAAATATTAGTGTTATTCACTAACACAGTTCTGTTCTGGTCTGGTCACACTCTCCCATGATGATGAGGAAGAGTATGAAGACGAAGACAATGCACTGCAGTAAAGTTATGTGGAAGGAAGCTAATGAACAAAAGATTCCTTGAGAATTATTTGTTTGTGTCCCTACATGATGTTATGAAGCTTCATTGTACACTCAGTGAATCGAATTTTTAACGGTGACGATCTTATAAGTAGACATTCGAAGTTATACGCCATCATTTTAAGAAATTCGTAATGTAGTTTCATTTTATTTTTCAGAAATATAAAATTATTATAAATTTGTGTATTTTAATTTTAAATCATTTGTATGATTTTCAATATTATTTATGGATAAAAAACACTACGGATGCACTTCATATGTTGCAATTTGTAGGCATCACAAAACTTAAGCAAGTAAATTCTAGAAATATGTATTCATTTATCCAGTAAAATTTCTTATGAGAACTGGTGCAGTTCTGTTGCTGCCAGCCAAAAGTTATTCCATTGTAATAATAAAGCAGTTTTTCAAACTTAATGCAAAGTGTTGCTAAATTTGATTTGAAAATTGCAGAACATTAAATAATGTTGTTTTACATTTATGTGAGAGGATGTTAAATGAAATCATTCATATTATGTCTGAAAGCATAATATACACATATAAAATCTTAAATGATTAAAGAGGCAGAATATTATTAATTCTAAAAAACGGTCAGAATACTTTAATGCTTTATAACATCCCAGACTTAGCCACACAATATGGTGAAACTGTTGTGATATTTCTAGCCTAAATGGGGATTAGACCAGAAGGGCTATTAATTTTGTTTTGGCATTTTGAATTGGTTCACTGTAAAAGTTTGAATCACTTTTCAAGTTGTTGCCACCAAATTTAAAGCCCTGCATTTTATTTAACCCTCTCAGCTTTATGGACAGATATTTTCGTATTGAAAGATGGCTTTCCAAATCGTCACACACAGATTATTTTGCCAGCTCTTGATGGATCCAAAAGTGTTTCAAACGATCTTTTCTGCCTTACATTTTCCACTTCGAAATCGTTGAGGACGGAATATGCTGTACTGTCGTTCCCCCCAACCTCCTGTTGCCCTTAATTGGTAGTGGGGAAACAGTGTTCGTTAGGGAAAGGTGTTACAATGGGAGGGTCATAAATAAAAACATCAAATCCAGCCATACCATCTGCTGACCTAAGGGCAAGGGCAATTTTCGTGCCAAAACTGGAAAATACTGGAAAGCCTTCAATGCAAACCTTTGTGTATGTGAAAAATTTGTGAAACAAAATTTCTTCTGCAAAGGTAAATGTAATTTGCACGGAACCCATGAATAACTTTTAAAGAATTTATCATCACCTAATTTAAAAATAATTTCTTTTATCATAGAACAAATACTTAAACAGGTATCTTATAATGACTGTAGAAACAGAGAAATTTGATATAATTTTTACTTTAGCTGTGCACATTGATTAAAAATACTGTATTTTTTTGAATTACTATAACAGTTCACAAAAAGAGTTACTTCAATATATATTTTGAATAATTGTTCTGAAATAAAAATGAGATTTTTGAAAGAGTTCAAATGGTGTAATTCCATTTTAAACTAATGTGTCACTTATATGTTTGTATCGAAATTCATTTAGTTGTATGAATGTGAAGTATGGACATTTTATTATTGAAATATGAGGACAAGGTGCGTTTCCTTAAAGAAAAATTTGTTTCACTCTTCTGATTTCTCGTCTTAAACAAACCACTGAGAAATTTCCTTGGTATAATATGAAAATCATTCGCAAATAATATCATATTTGATTAAATCGCTTTTTGGCATTGATAAAATAAAGTAATGAAAGTACATGAAATCGTATGATGCATTTTTTACCCTAAGCAAAATACTTCCGTTTTACTGAAAGTGTTATCGAATAAAAAGGTCGAAACGATATTTGATTATGAATATTTTACTGTTATGAAGATGTGATTATGATGTGACAGTAAATATTTATAAAAAATAGTTGTTAGTAGAAAAGAAATGTAAATAGCTTTTTATAAAATCGTCGCAAGCATTATGGAACAAATATGATGGTGATCTGGGTGAAATTTCGTAAAAAGAAATAAGAATTTCCGATTCTTTGTCTGTATCAAGATTTGAAATGACACAATTAGATGTTCAGATAAAAATAGACAACTTTAACTTTCATGGAAGACTTTCGGAGGGAAAACAATTTGTTATTTACGACTACGGTTAATTAATTAAAACAAAGGAGAGCTGTCTCTGTATGGGAAGATTTCTTAAAGAAAACTGGCTCGTATTCACGTTACATGTGGGAAAACTCAATTCCAGATCAAACTACTAGTGTTCAGTGATGTTACTGCCTAGCCGCTTGTGGACGCTATTTACAACTAAGGACTGATGAGCTATGTTAAATTAGGTACTGATTACCATTTATTTTTAAATTCATTAGTTAATACTTATAATAGGGGTTTTACTAAAAAGGCCAATATTTGCATGCATTTCTTGAAATCAGTTTTCACATCTTATTAACATTTTATGTGCAGTTTTTATGGCATCTTTCTTTCACACCCACTCAAACAATTTCACAGCCTAAGAACAAAATAGGACTATTAAAATTTAATATCTATGCTTCGTTTGAAATATTTCTCTTTGGTTTGGTTTACTTGAAAAAGCGCTCGAAGGCTATCTGCCAAAGGAGGAATGCCTTCATGGAGAACTGCCTAAGAGAAAATGGCTCCTATACATGTTACACAATGGAAAAATCACGAAAACGTCCATGCAACCAGCCTGTTCGCTGGGATTCGAACCGAGCTCCCGTGTTCAGTAATTTTACTGCTTGGCTGTTGGTGGACGTATCACCTTTTGAGATAATTATCATAATATTATATGTTTTAATAGGCATCAATAACAATTAATGCTTAGTACTGTAATTTACATTTCCAGTGATGTTAATCTAATTAATACTCTTGGCTTGTCACTGTCAATGATACCAATCGTGTGATTTGGTTTTCACTTTCGGAGCAAAATTACATTGAGAAAGAAATCAATTTGGGAACAAATAAAAAAGAATTGATGAAATAAGTATTATAAAAAAGCAAATTTCTTTTATATTCTTGGGTCATTTGTTACCATTTACTTTATGTTTTAATACCTTTTCATATTTTATTTCAGTATTGCTTTATTAATTCTTAAATATTTTGCAAAATGGGAAAAATTTGTGAAACTCATAAATTCTTTCAATTCTAAATATAATTTTCTTTCCCAATTCTAAAAATGCATTCTTGGTATTATAGAGTAACAAAAAGACATAGTATTCACTAAATTAATATGCAATTATCGTTAATTAAAGTGCATTTGGTACTAGAGTCATGATAAATGTAATGTACACATGCTTCAAAAAGCTTGCACTACTAAAAAAGTTTTTCACCGTTCTCGGCAGAACCGTGGTTCCAACTTCAAATAAATAGATAAATAAATAAAAATAAAATAGGCTTTCGCACAACGACAGTTTTTGACCCATTTTATTATAAATGTATGAAGCAAATTTTTTTTCATTCTGCAAAAGAAAGAAATATGTCAATAAATAATATGTTTTTCAGTGTGCTATTAAAATAAGAAATTCATACTCGTCTGATGCAAATTTATTACTTTCAAACACTAACTACACAGAAGTTGTATTTTTAAGTATTTAAACGCAGTTTTCGATACTTTCAGCATCTTTTATAAGTGTTACGAACCATCTTATTTCTCTAAATTTTCTTTAGCAAGGTAAGGAACAACACATTCAATGGTGTTTTTTTCGCACAATCGCTTTGCAGACACT